CCCAAATTAGATGCAGATTCGTTGGTCTGACGCGAGTATATCCTCCCCTTTTTAAATGTAAATCCTTTTATGCAAAACATACCCAGGCGCAAAACGTGCCAGAGAATAATGGTGAGAACCGGGCGAAAAATACACAGGTCACAATGAGCACTTACTTGAATGTCGACCATTCTCTTCGTCGAGAGTTTTTTTTTTTTTTTTTCGTCGAGCGCTTCTATTGACGGACTCAGCGTGCAATCATGAATGCCTATATATGCCACGAATTAGAAGACTCGGCCTTCAGCCGCGAGTGAGATTTGAGGGCGAAGACTGAGGTCTGGAATAGTCGACCGCATGCAGTCGGCAACGGGAATGGTCGATATGGATGAAGGCGAGTTGAAGGCGACTCGGACCTCTGATTTCGCACCCTTTTTTTGCATCATGTGTATTTCCAACGAGTCACCAGTGATAGTGGAGCTTTCTTGTGTTTGAGTTGATTTTTACACTGCCTCCGACTCTGACTCTACCGCTTCCTCAACTATTTTCTGCTGACTTCCTCTCAGAGTCGACGACTACTCATAATTTCGGCAGATTGTTTCAGGAACTGGTGTGCCATCTTCTGTCGACATCAATCCACGAATAGAAGTAAGCCGCGATGGAAATCTAACTCCTCGCGATGAATAAGCCTGGAATCAAATCAAAATTGCCCAAGCGGGCGTGGTCAAGCCGCTCATATCGTTGATTTTCTCCGCCGACGGCCTCCCCTCGGAGTCAGTACATCTGTGGCTGCCGAGGACTCCACTTGCGCTCTGTTCTTTTTATCGCAATTTGAGTGAAACAAAATTATAATTGGCGGCTCCGGCGCGATTCCGCCCTCGTTCGTTTACATGGAGTCAACTTCTTTAATGTCTCGCTTCCAACAGATGGTCTCGGACTATTACCCATTTTTAGGCCTTTTGCTCATATAATGCTACACAAGCCTTCCCTTGGCCTCGTACATGATGCATGATTCTCCTCATTATATAGTGAGAAAAGATTAAAAGAAATCTTCTGGAAAGGTGCTTTACCCATAGCAGGCTTACTAGAGACCAAATGGTCTTGGAATTTGCTACTTGACATAATGTATCCAAGCAAACGGTTCGGAACAATAAATCCAAGCGGTTGGCTTCCTTGTTGTGATGGTATTAAAATGTGTATACTGGAGAGTCTCTTTTACAAGCATCTTTTAACAACATGCTGCTTATACGTTTCAATATAACAAAGCCTCTCATATGATTAAGAGTAACATCAAAGAAAAAATAATTGTGACCACGGTGTCTACCGTTAAGGTCGTGGTGGGGGAATCATTTATTCGGCGTCCCGACTTCTTGATTCCCCCGGCCGAGTCCCTCAATAGGATGGACCGACCACTCCTCGCCAACCATTTTAATTTAAATACTACATCTATTTTAGATGATAATGGTTACCTCTTGTAGACCTCGATACGCAGTTTTCTTTGTTTGATTCGCTTCTAGTCCTCTTATTGGTCCACGGTACTCCGTGAACCTTCTCAATTTTCCGTCCGTAGTGGACGCTCTCCGAAATTGCTCAAACAAAGAGGCAAACGCGACCTTTTGTCACGATCCCCACAGACGGCGCCAGTGATGGTTTTTGGGTTTTCGGGCCCAAGGAGGTCCAACACAACCTTTAGCTGGAGGATACACCTTTCAATAAAAAACTTGCTAAACTAATATGAACTCGATGATTTTGACGTGGAAACCAAAAGGAAAACCACGGGCCTTTTTGGGCGGTGCCAAGCCTAACTCCACTATGTATTTTGTAGGTGTCTTTGTACATATTGTATGGCTATTTTGTATATAGAGATATTGTGTAAGAATAAAGATATTTTTGATACCGAGAGATCGAGTATGCTTCTTGATGGAATGGTGGTAGAGTCTTCCCATGTGGAGTCTTCTTCATGTGTGGAAGAGTGGTGTAGGAAGAGTGATGGAGTCTTCTCTTGTGCTCAAGAATGGAATCTTCTTCATGTGGTCTTCTTGCTTGAATGAGTGGAGAGTGGTTGTGGGAGAGTGCCCCCATGTGTGTGGATGAGTGGCGTGGGAAGGGTTGTAACACCCCAGATTTTCAAGACATTTAAAACTTATATAACAAGGATAACATCTCATTAAATCCCAAAGTATAACATAAGCGTACGGGGTGCTATGCCACACCTGGGCTAGAGAACCCAGGTGCACAGGCTATCTAACTAATATCCTCCGAAATATAAATGCATAACATGGCACGCAGGCCGAAAGGGAAACTACTCTACTTCTACGTTCCAGTCTAGCGCGCTCCAGTGCTCTAATCCTCTGTGCCTGAAAGCCAAATATATCTGTTCAGCGAGAAATGCTGGTAACCCACTCCAACGCGTTGAAATACATTACATATAGAGATATATATAGGTATACGAAAACCATTTTGAAGCATGAAGATATATCCTACGAGACTCTAGCTTTTAAAACAGGGATCGACTCAACAGATAGGGCTAAGCACAGACAGCAGTTATACCAAGCATATACAGTTTACAACAGGCAAGACAGGTAAGATAAGCACAATTAATAATCATAATCCAACATATACGATTCCCAGTATAAATCCCATAGTCACATCCCCCAAGATACTCATAATCACAACTCATCCATATCTCATCACATAGCACACTTTGTTGGCACCACAGGACCAATCGCATGCCCATACATGAGGGTCAGCACATATAGCTCTGACACGGCCCCGCAGCACCCTGCCCCGTATCGCAACACGGAGGGGTCGATCGCAACCGACCGATGAACCGCAGCTCATCATAGTTTGATCGCAACCAAACAGTGGACCGCAGCCCAAGAGTATGTCATCTGACCGCAGCCAGGAAAGTATGAACCGCAGCTCATGTAGAAACGTTTGATCGCAACCAAACGGTGGACCGCAGCCCAAGAGTGTAAATCTGACCGCAGCCAGCTTCTGAACCGCAGCTCAGGAATAACCAATCCGATCGCAACCGAATTGGGGTGTCATGCACACATAACACATAGCAAGCACATGCAACCCACATTAACACATTGGGAAGGGGAGAAAGCGTATAACAAAACCCATGCGTGATCCTTCACATACTAAGAATGGTCCTAAGGGGTTCATAGTTCTTCCACCTAGGTCAACGGGATACCAATTCAACTAGCATGCAATATATAAGACTCATAACCTACGAACGGTACCCAAAACATCAAACTAGACACGGCACGATGAACAGAGTCCGTTGGGACACCACGGGGATCAGGGAAACATCAAACGGGGAAGCCGGAGTCCCGAATGGGGGAGATTTCCAGCGGGTAGCCGGTGGGTGGGGGGCCACCCGCCGGTAAGCACTGTTCCGGGCAGCGGGTCACCGGCGGGCAGCTGCCCGCCTGCCGGCTGCCCGCTGCCGGAGACGTCCCTTCTGGCCACGGGTAGGTGGCGGGTCCCCTACCCCCACCTACCCCCCACTGACTCTTTATACACAAAACGCCCCAGGAACCATTGTAGAACCCGAAACCATGCTTAGACACTTTATAACGCAATTAACGATCAACACGTAGACAATTAACGGATCAAATACGAGAAACGTACGACACATAACCTATCATGCTTTTCTAAACATAATCGACACCCAAACATGCGATTTCCCCACCCGATACACCAAGAATAATATCATACGATACAACCTAGGGTTCTAATCACTTTTATACCAACAAGAATACGATTCGTCTTCTAATTACAAGATTCGGTAAGAATATCACATAAGCATCAAGAATGCCATACAATTATCAAGAACGACATATAAACATCAAGAACTCCACATAATCATCAAGAACACCATAATTATCAAGGATCTCCCAATATCAAGATCACCCATGGAATTATCCCATCAATCATCAATAATAATATCACAAATCATCAATACACAATAATATGGGGAAATCCTACGGGGGAAATCATAGCTATGAAAATAGGTTTTGTTGAGCCATGGGTTACCTCTTAGCCTTAATTAATTCCTTGGCTATGAAGGGTCTTTCTTTAAGCTTTCTTGCTTTCTTGATTTCTTCTAAGGGGATTCTTGGAGCTCTTTTGGGGCGGTGGGGCGTTATTCTTGTGGGAGTTCTAGGTGCCTTCTAGGTTCCCTATTTATATATCTAAGGGTCTTATTTAGGGTCTAATCCTTTTAGGATTAGGGGTTGGGTTTAGGGATGAGGGCCCATGGACTATGGTGGACCTTTTTCCCTAATTAATTATTATAATTTATTCTTTCTCTTGGGCTATGGGTTAATTACTTAATCGGTTTTAGGGGCCGTAACACGGGGTGTTACAAGGGTATTCTATGTTTTGTGATGTGGAGTACGTGGTGTCTTTCTCCCATGATGAAGCCCCCCCTTTGATCTTACTGTCTTCCCCCTTTTATAGCTAAAGGAGCTTTAGAGACGTTGGGGGGTTATTTAGTAGGGATTAAGGGTATTAAGTTGGGGGGTTAGGATGAGGTAGTTTTAATAGGATATTTACTTTGGGGGGTTATGGATATTAAATTGGGTAGTGATGGGATAGTAATGAGGTAGGCAAATAGGGTAGCAAATGGGCTAACGGCTAGTTTAGGCCGACTTCCGGGTCGAGCCGACCCCTGGGTCGAGTTGACTCCTCGGTTTAGCTCGTGTCTCTTTTGGGCGTACTCCATTTTCTTCTTGGGTTTCTCTTCTTCGTCCGGGCTTTATCTATTTTCTTCTTGGGCCCCGAGCCCACGGGGTTCACACCCCATCAATAATAATAATAATAATAATAATAATAATAATAATAATAATAATAATAATAATAATAATAATAAGATCTTCAAATTAGAATTTTAACTGTTGGGCGACTGCTTGAAAAGTGGAGTCCAACATCATGTCATCGGAACGTAGCGCTGAGCAAGTATAAGGAAATTAAGTTGAGATTAGCTATTGACTATACTTTTAATATAGTGGAAATCGGCTTTTAGTTTCATATTTGTATTTGGGATCCCGGCCTACCTTTTTCTCTTTTCTTTTTTTTTTTCTTTTTTTTTTTTTTCTTTTTAAGTGCATTAGTTGTAGAATGATGATGAATATAGTGACTATGAAATGTAAAGAATCTTTCTCAAATTTCTTATCAAATTCCCTCAATTTCTCTTACATTTCATTAATTTACAGCAAAAATTACATACCCAAAAATTCTAAACCCCACCATCAAAATCGAACCTATAATTAAACATGCTAATTATTTTGTCATGATTGAAAAGAAAACATGCCCAATCATCCTTCCAGGTTATGTTGGTTAGTTTTAGAGTCTAAACTAAATATAGAATTTTCACCATAATTCCAAATTAAAATTGAAATTTACTCTACATTTCTTTAATTTTAAGTAAAGATTGATAATTTAATCCAAGTCAATGGTCAATAATTAAGAAGATGTTGTAAGAATATCATAATAGAGAATAGAGAGATAGGGAAGGAAGGCCAGTGGTGTTTCTCATTCATCGGAAGAATTCATATACAAAGGTATCACCAAATATAAGGTAATAACAATACATATAAAAGGTAGTCACCTATCAATTACAACTACTACCATATATATAATAATGTCCATATTAATATTTACAACACTCCCCCTTGGACATTATTTGACATGATCCTGCCTTGTAAAAATTTGCTAGGAAAACCCTGTGGGAAAAACCTAGACAAAATAGTATAAATGTATATATATTCATGTCTCGTTAAAAACTTCACTAGGAAAACCTCGTGGGAAAAACCTAGTTGAAGAAAATAGTACATGATATTTGTAAGAACATATATTGTACTGATTGCCTCATTAAAAACCTTAACTTAAGAAAACCCTGTGGGAAAAACTAAGTTAAGGGAAAAAGAGTACAACCAAAACCTTCAGGGCACAATCGACATAATCTTCAGGATTTTGGGGTTTGTCAACTTAAGCAATTATTTTGCAACTTTTCCCCATTTACATTACTATATCATACTCATGTCTCGTTAAAACCTCAATAGAAAACCCAGTGGAAAAAATTAGTTGAGGAAAAGAGTGCATGATGTATGTGTATTCTTGTTTTAGATTAACTGCCTCATTAAAAACCTTAGATTTAAGGAAAAACCCCGTGGGGAAAAACTTAACTAAGGAAAAGAGTACAACTGTTAGTCATCTAAGACCCAATCTTCAGGATTGATTCATGTAAAATGATACTTCCCCTCAAGATAACAATCTTTAGTTCCCATACATTAAATTTCTAAACAGTATAGAGAAATTTTGTAAATAAATATATACAACTGTCAATTGAATAAATATACTCTATAATAATCTCGTGACTTTTCTGGAGTTCACGTGGTATAATATTGATATCATAATATCTAGTCAACACAATCTTCATTGACCCTTTATGGAACAATGGGGGTAAATATAGTACATCCAGTTTTGGGACTTGGCATTATGGGATACAAAAATAATAGCCAGTACCCAAGTAGCCCATTGTATATTGATTTGTCTAAGTATCCAATCAAAATCATATATTGGCTAACTGGTGTATAAAAATTTCTTCAAAGAAAAACTCGATCTTCAAGTCGAGATAATTCTTAGCTTTCCGAAGCTTTTGTTTCAAAATCTCCGTCTTTAGATATGGGCTGACATCATCAAGCCCTTTATATATTTCATTGATGTTTTCCACCATCAATATTGACTTAGATAATAAATAATAAATAAGTTCATTATCAACCCTTTATCGAGCACACAATGGTACATATTATTCCTTCAATGATGATATTAACTCCATTCGCAACCCTTTAAAGAGTAAATATAATGACACTTAAATTCTCATTTCGGGGATTATAAATCCATCAGGAATTTCTCAAATTAAATATTAACTGCATATCTAAATTTATTATTATTCTGCCAATAATATTACGTAGCGGAACTTAATGCCATTCATCGTGGGAGAGTATATTTGATTAAAATTAATTAAGGGTCTCTGCGTGAACCCATAGGCTACAAACTCGCTTCATATCTTATCACCTCGTTATTCTTGTTTTCCTTCCACACCATTTGTAACCTACAGGGTTAATACCTCAATGGTGTACGAAAAGAATATATTAGCGAGTTGAGCTGTATATGTCTTTAATTGCTCTCTTTATACGTTAATCAATCTAGGCACTTCTGGCACCTAGTTCTGGATCCAGATTGTCATATAATTTGAGCAATTTGAAGGCAATTGTATTGTCGACAACTTATAACATTTTTCAAGAATTTCTCCTATATTTATGATTGTTCATGGCAATATTTAAGTCAACCAGATTCTAGACATTTCCCAAAGATATTTTGATCTGGTTGTTCCGCATCCCTAGTATTACATTTGTTTGGTGCACCTATAATTTTACTAGGGTTTTTCGTCATCTGGACGAACGTCTGCAGGACATAATTATTCAAACTATTTCAAGAGTGACAATGTTTATTTACTAGATCTAGTATTATGATTCTTAACTTTTACACCGATAGATCTCCTACACCTCTGGCGCCAAGGAGTATCGGTAGATATATTTGGTCCAAGTTGGGGAAATTATATGGGACCTAGTCACTCTTATATGATCGGTATGATCAATAGATGTATTTGGCAGATTATTTGCTAATATCGCAAATAGAGATTATCTTATGAACTTCCAGTTCAATCTAACTAGTACATGGATTTTTAATAATGAAGATGTTTTCATTCTATGAAATTTCTTGGCATTCCATTAAAATTTAATCTATTATCTCCCCCTAATGCCAAGAAACAATCTTCATTAAGTATGTAGTCAGCGTATCTGTTGATCCCCTATAATGGGCTCTGGGTATTTAAACAGCAGACGGAGGTATATAGCCCATAGAGATACGCTTGAGGTGGTGATACAATAAAATGGACTACATACTAAGACTAGAAACGCAGATCGGGAAATGTTTAATTCTACCACGTACTATGGAGGAATAATTACAATATGCAGTGAGTTAGATTTGAATTAATACAAATATCCTCAAAAATAGATAATTTGGTAACTTCTCATTCACTCATGCTCTATAAAATACTCATGTGGATAAGAAATTGTAATATCTCACTCATGTTTGCCCTCAGTGACCCAATTGGTCATGCCATAATTAAAAATTGGATCTCTAAAATGTAAAGATTATCGCAACACAATAAGTTCTCAAATGTATATGAAATTTACCATAAGTGGCATATAAAATCATATAGGGCAAGCATACACATTGAACAAAATGAGTGAAACATTCGACAATCTTAGGGAGATTAAATGCCAAAAGAAGTATAAATGTTGAAAATTATCAAATATTAACAATTTGTTTGCATCAGGCAAACCAACATGATGTTACTCACTTTTGGCGGTTAAGCACATAGCATTCTTGCATAGTAGCATATCATTAAAAATAGAAATTGTAGACTTCATTCACGAGTCATGAGTCATTGGTTACTCAAAGAACTATTACTGGAGTACAATGTGACTATCATAAATGACATGCAAGATAACGAGTGACAGATAAATTAGCGTTCTAAGTTTACCTTCTGGGCAAAACTATATTAAAAAATTAGGTACTATCCTTTTGTTTAAATACTCAAATTTGAGATTTATTTCAATGTCAAAGACTCGTGTGAAACAATGCTATAATAAATTAGCGCAGCCAATAAACTTCAATTTTGGACAAATAACAATTGACTTTTAAATCAATACCAAGTCAATTTTATATTTGGGGAATTTGTCTTAGTGCTATTATCATATAATTAGTGCAATACATTCGCCTTCGGGGCAAAGCTATATTCAATATTTATGTTATATATCACAATATTTAGACTCATATCATCTAATTGATATCACAAGATCAAATTAAGGTTTAGCAACGACAGGTGCAACCTAATAATGAAAATCATATTGAGAATTCATGTTATTATCTCATTTATAAGTTGCATGATGAATCACAATAGCTATGGCCTATAGCAAATAATTAATTGCCAACAAGAGAAATAACAAATTCTCTTATATGAGCCTAATCGAGAGATTATAGGCTAAAAATTAATTAAAGATAAGCATATTCAATATGTGATATAATTGTCCCTTGTGTCATGGACACCAAAATCTCAATTAAGTCATGCACATCTACTTTAAACAAAGAGTAATGCATGACATGAAAAGAGAGATTCTATTAATTCATAAATTAGAAAATAAAATGAGAGAAGTACCGTTCGCCAAAGGATAACGAGCACATGTTCACTGCCGGGCCCATTCATTCCTATTTCGGAGAGTCAAAAACAGCACTTTTCCAAGCAAGCTCTCATTTTATCTCATAGTTTCATACAAGTATGAAAACATCACAAAATAGCAAGATATACAAGCTAAACTGAAACTTGGTAGAAAATTTCAGAATTTTGACCTGGATTGCAGAATTTTCTGGAGAAAAACGGTAACACATTTTGGCACAAAATTTTGCATATAGGTATTTCAGCAAGTCTAGAACGTACATGAAAAATTTCATGCCAATCCAAGGTCTAGAAGTATTTTTTCCAAAAATATTTCCAACACTGCGTCAGGCAGAAAAATAACTGGCAGCACACTGCCAAAATTTTACAGAATTTACTGGAACAACCAAAGCATATTTTTAAGAAAAACTTTTATAGACATCAAATATCACAAGTCTAGGTTCTCCAGAAAAATTTCAGGCCAAAAGAAGTTCAATAGGTATTTTTCACGAATTTATTTTTCAAACTGCACCGATCAGAATTTTCCAGGCATGCCTCTCAAATTTTATGCAAATAAATTCAACACATACTCAAGAGGTGCATTGTAAAAGCTTTGGTAGGCATGTAGCGCAAGGTATTAAATAGGCATGAAAACCATTTAAAACTTGAATTGATCACTCACCACACTTCATATTTCAACTAAGCAGCAACAATTACCAATATCATCAATCAATATCTTACTTAAACATGAATAAGTAATGAGAGTTTATGAAAGAAAGCTATACAAAATCAGCATACTACAGGATGCAAATGATACAAATAGAAGCAGTATGCCAAGGCAATCAATCTCATATAAGCCGTATGTCAAGACAATGATACAAATCTACATACACATTTTAGCCAATAAATCTAATCATGCATTCTTGGGGCATGTTATACTGCACAAATCGTCCAAGAAACGACATCTTAATGTAGAAACATAACTGTGATTTAAAATATAACCTTTCTTGCTTAAAAGCTGTAATTTGAAACAGTATCATGGGTTACAATTGTGCATGCATGACTTTCACAAACATTATTATTGATCAAACACTAGATTGCATATTTGCATCCATAATTTTTGTGGCACAGACAATTCCAAAACAAGATCTTGAGTTTGTACACAACTTTGCCAATAATATGCATATTCTTTACGTGAACGGTATGTTTATTTTCTAATTAACATTCATAATGTTCAAATTGCCAATAATATGCATATTTCACATTGTGTTTTGAAGTATATGCTTTAAAATATACGTGCAATTTGTATTGATACAGTATAAATGTTAAATATGCTTTTCATTCAATACATGAATATATACGCAACACAAGTTCACTTAGCAGAACCTTAAACACAACCTTTTGATTCAATTAATTATTTCCGCTTTCAGAATAGCATGTAAATTAAAGATTAAGATTTACGGTGCTACTAATTTCTAAACCTCTCCACACAGACATACTACTGCATATATACATACACACACATATATGCACACACAGGGAGCAAATATAAAGTGAGAAGGAATTGTACGTATCTGCAAGACGATGAATTGCATTGGGTTGGTCAATGGCGAATGAAACGGACGACGTCGTCTTGGCGATTTCCGATCAATAATTCCGTCTCTCTGACACGATCATGGAGGTGGGTCAGTCGCCTTCAGGGCGGCAATGATCGTCTAAGACCCTCCAACCCCCAGAAAAACGGTCGCCACCATCAACTTGTCGATCCGTGTCGCGAACCCGTCTTTGGTCGCGGGAAGCTTTTCCGGTGATCGGAGGAAACTGTGGGAGACGAGGATGGCGTTGGCCCAGGGGTGGTCGCGGCGGACTGTCTCAGTGGTGAAGGCTCAGGCTGTGCAGAAAAAGCCGCAGACGACGTCCGCTCTATAGAAAGTGAGCGACAGTGATCTCCACCGGAAAAACGACTTCGGACGATCGCGATAGATCAGCTACCACCTCCGATTGTCCTTGCAAAGTCTCCATCGTCGGAACTGTCTCCATAGTCGAGGACTGATACGCGATCGAAGGGATCGCAGCAGGTTAGTTGTCGATCGGCCAACTGATATTGGCGATTATGCGGATTAGTGTTGGAGAGGATCCCGGACAACGGCAGACCACCATTGCCCCCCTGGAGCCTCCGGATCGCGGAAGAGGACAGCGTAACACCGACGGCGCAAGTCGGACAGAATGTCTCGAACATCTCCCCAGTCTCCGGTTCGCCGAGAATATAGAGCAAAGCGTGTTGTAAGAATATCATAATAGAGAATAGAGAGATAGGGAAGGAAGGCCAGTGGTGTTTCTCATTCATCGGAAGAATTCATATACAAAGGTATCACCAAATATAAGGTAATAACAATATAAAAGGTAGTCACCTATCAATTACAACTACTACCATATATATAATAATGTCCATATTAATATTTACAACAGAAGACAAATATTTGGACATTTCTACTTGTTTCTTTTTCACAAGCCCTATCCATGAATGTAAACCACAAACACAATCATTATTGTGTGGACCATGGTCCACACAAGTTGTATGGACCATATTTTGTCTACTATAAAATAATGTACATTCAGTACAAAAATAATGTACATTCAATATAAAAATAATGTATATTGTATACAGGGGATATACATTATTTTTGTTCTGAGTGTACATTATATTGTATAATGTACATTCAGTACAAAAATAATGTACATTTAATATATTAAAAATGTGCTTTTTGTTATGGTCCACATAATATTGTGTGGACCATGGTCCATACAATAATTTGCCCCTTGGCATATTATATATTATTTAATAACTAGATAAGGACATGCATCTTCAAAGAATATTGTTAATATTTATCATATTCTTTATAACCGTGTGGAATAGTGAATGTTAAAGATGGGTCAATTTATCGATATTGCCACACTCACTATCTAGTTACAGTTGTGGGATGATAAATTCAGGAGCATATATGAAATGTAAAGAATTTTACTCAAATTCCTTGTTTTCACATTCCCTAAATTTTATTTCTATAATTTATTTAATTAAGATTAATTCAGATTTCAGTTTAAATTTCGTTTATTTTTCCCATCTAGAATCCAAGAGAACAGAGATAGAGTCCAATAAACTAAAGGTAAAAATTTGTCTGAGACTGGCCGGGTCGGGTCGGGGCCGAGTCAAAATGAAAATGTAATACCTTTTTTTTTTTAATGGAAAGGTACATATATTAATTCAATAACAAAACCAAAATTGTAATACTTATATGCACAATTATAATATTAATTATGAATAAAATATTTATTACTTAAATAGTAAAATGTAATATCTTTATGTTTTTATTTTAAAAGTATTACATTTTTCCTCAAAAATATTATATTTTCCCTTATAAGTAACAAACACTTGTCAACATTACTTATTAGGGAAAATGTAATACTTTTGATGGAAAATATAATACTTTTACATCCAAATGTATATGTATTACATCTTTTCACAAGAGTATTACATTTTTCCTTATAAGTAACAAATATTTTTATTCCTGATCAATATTACATTTGAGCATATAAGTATGACATTTGCATGGTAATCCGACTCAACCCGTCACACTCAAGTGTAACCCAAAATTAAATTATCGTGAATGGAAAAACGCAACCATACGCTTTGTAGAAGTTATTCACCCACTGGTCAAATTTTACTGTGGACTATGGTCTATGCAGTAGCGCGTGGATCATGAAATATGTATCATTTTAATTACACTTCAGTTTCGTGTGACAATATTGCTATGTTTTTTAGTTTCATTTTCTCTCCACACATGTTTTATTATAGTAATAATAAAGTATCATTTTAATTGTGACAAGCACTTTCTGTTTACATGGCATCTTTTTGGGTTCTCTTGAGGAAAGGTCACAGGATCGAAACCCAGTGGTGGAGAAAGTGTAGAATAGACAATAGTACCCAAAAAAGTTAATCATTTTAATTATACTTTAATTTTATTAGTATAGAATAGATACTACCTTATAAACTACCTTATAATAGAATCAATAGTACCCAAAAAAGTATCATTTTAATTCTACTTTAATTTTATTTGATAATATACATTATTGCTTTACTCTATTTTTTTTTTCAATTTCCACGCACACTAACTTAATTATAATAAAGTTGAAGTATTATTTTAATTTTTAATTGCACTTCAGGTCATTCGGCAATTTATGTTATTTTATTGCCCTAAATTTTTTAGTTTCATTTTTCATGCACACCAATTTCATTATAACAATACTAAAATATCATTTTAATTATACTACAGTTTCATGGACATCTTCAATGTAGAGTTGTAGACAATGTACTGTATGTCTTTTCACAATTTCATTTCTACTTCTAATATATATAAGAGGGATTGGCACTGTTACTAGTCATCAGGTAGAAATCTAGTGTTCTGAATATGTCAAGTTTGAGTAATTAATGGGTTAGAAAATAAGAACATAAATACTTTTAAGATATTATAATTAAAACGACATCATTTTTTTATATTTTATTTTTAACAAACGATTGATCTGTATATCTACATTATATATATATATATATATATATATATATATATGTATATATATATATATATATATATATATATATATATATACACGAAACCTACAAATCTAATAAGAGTCAATAATGTTAAGCCCTTAACTGGAACAAAAAAATGTCGGTAGTAGTTATTTTTTAAAATGAATGGTTCATATTATTTTGATTTTAGTATTTTTTTTAATGATTTTACTTATTTACACTCTATTATATTATTTTCTTCCCTTAAATAACCCTAAATTTCGTTAATATAAACTTTAGTAACGAAATATTCTGTTAACTATTTATTATTCTTACCATACTCATTAATTTATATAAGAAAGGTCATAGGTTCGAACCCCATCCCAATTAGAGTTGACATAATTGTTAAACATATATTATGAATATGTTAAAATGTATTAAAAATATATAATATAAAATTTAACATAAACTTTGGTCAAATAATTAGCCCGACTAAATACCTAGCATTCAAAGTTGAGCATCAAAGATTATAAATCAGGAACTTTAAAAATCATTTGATTTTCTTTATTTTTTTTAAAAAACAAATGTCGATAATTTTTTTTTTTTTTTTTTTTTACGTTTAATTAATCTTCTTTTGATTATTTAGAACAAAACTTAATATTTCAATTATGCTTTTGCATTATTGGAATGATTTAGGTAATTATGGTATTAATATTTTTTGTATTTTTTATAATGGTATAATTGTACATTAATTTACAAATATTATATTATTATACTATTATTTTTTTATCGGACAAAATTTTTCTTACATCATTGTCAGACCCGCGCGGCCTAACTAAAAAGTTGTTGTTCATAATTACAATTGCAAATGTACTCTAAAACGGTATGACCATTTTCCAAATAATTGACAATGTTAACATCCTACTAGCTCCAATTGAACAAGTTTACACATCAGAATTTGATCAATGCATGAAAACTTCTAAAGAAATTTGTAAATTAATTTTACTATATCATTATAACAATATCTATTGTAACCATATATTTTGAATTATTTATTATCATCCTCTATTGACAACAATTGTAGCAATTGTCATTGACAAACTCTCGAAACAATTTGTCTCACCAAGGAATGGGAATTAAAAAAAAAAAATCATTGATTTCATTATTGTTGATGAAAAGTAACTACAATTTGTCCTCTACGACACTTTATTACTCTTATTAAATTAAATAAATTAGTAGGTACAACAAAAAAATAATACATATGCATTTAATTAATTTAGAATTACATGTCTATAATGCTTTATTTATAAAAAACAATATTCATTATAAAAAAAATGAAAAGAAATATAATTTCATTAGGTATATTATCTTTATTTTCTACAATTCAAACATTTCTTACCTTAAAATTTATCCACTTATTATATTCACTACATTGTCCATTGTCTTCTTTTTACATTCTCTTGTAATTAAAAATCAAAGTTATAATACAAAACATGTTATATATATATATATATATATATTTATTTATTTACCATGTATTTTATAGAAATATAATAAATATTAATATTTTGTTCAATATTTTCACATGAAAATCTACGACACACATCTCACAACAAATGAAACATGTAGGGGAAAAACTACCAATACTAAATATCAATAGGTGTTTGTAAGATAAAGAGTTCATATTACAACTAAAATCTCAGTCATATACACAGCAAGACAAATCTAAAGTTTCATACACCATAATCTCATTGCATGATGAATCCCTCTATGCTACCCCCAGTAACCTAATTGCACATGACACACTACTAATTTAAAAAAAAAAAAAAAAAAAAAAAAAAAAAAAAGAGGACATGTATTGAAGATGAAAATAATGACAATGCTACCCAAAAGAGAATTAAGAAGAATTACAGAAACTTAAACTAAAAGTAGTATTTATTTAGACTATTTCTATAAGACTAAGTATTTAGACTAGCGTTATTATAAAGTTGCAAGCATTTATTTTAGTGACAAACTGACAATTATAATCAATCTCTCATATATTATCTTGAATTTGTATACTTTAATTACCGATTTAAATAAAAAAATTCAACATTTATTTACCTATTCATAAACAACTCCTATATAATATTGCATTGATATACTTTGAAATACTTATGTAAAAATAATCATTGGGCATTATCTCATTCGCGCAAAGCGCGTAAAAAACTAGTGTATATATATATATATATATATATATATATATATATATATATATATATATATATATCTACTATCTACTATCTACTATCTACTATCTACTATCTACTATACTAATAAGAGCCCAAGAGAGTTAGGGCTATAATGGGTAGAAAAAATGGCGGTCAATTTTTTTAATCAAATGAATGGCTCAGATTGATCAGATTTTAGTTTTTCCTTGACATTTCCTAATTTATCCTTAATGAATATGATTATCCGTTAACTTTTCCGTAAAATATTATCTTTTTCGTTAGTTTCTGTTAGTTCACCGTTAACTTACTCATTGATTTTAATAAGAAAGGTCTCAGGTTCGAACCTCATCCCAATCAAATTAAAGTTGGCATAATTAGTACTCTATTTTACTCTTATTAAATTAATTAATTAATAATTTAGTAGCTACAACAAAAAAAATATATGCATTTCTTTAATTTAGAATTATGTGTGTACAATATCTTTATTCAAAAAAAAAAGTATTCCTTATCAATAATAAATTAAATAAGAGAAATAATTTCTTTAGTTATATTGTCTTTATTTTTCTCAAATGTAAAAATTCTTTACATTCAAATTAATCAATTAATTATATTCACTACATTGTCTTTTATCTTTTTTTGTGCACTATTTTTTAATTAAATATCAAAGTTATAATACACAATAATGCTATATATTTATTTACCAAGTATTTTATTAATAGCATGACAAAATTAAAAATTAAAAAAAAAACATAATTAATAAAGCCAGTCATATTAACTACTTGAGGGATTTGTTAACAAAGAGAATATTCAAATCACACAACAAATTGAAGTAAGAACTACATAGCAATGTCCTTGTTTGATAGCAGTTAGCAGTTAGTGTTAGCGGATTTGACCAGCAAATTATATCAACGGTTGAAAAAAAGATATTTAAAAAAATTAGCCATTTAGATTAACATGTAAAATGACTTAAGGGTATAATAATAATAATAATAATAATAATAATAATAATAATAATAATAATAATAATAATAATAATAATAATAATAATAATAATAATAATAATAATAATAATAATAATAATTAATATTATTAATATTATTATTATTATTATTATTATTATTATTATTATTATTATTATAATTGTTATAAAAAATAAAAAAATATATATAATTAAGTCAATCATATTAACTACTTAATTGGGAGATTTATTGACAAAAAAGAGTATTCAAATCACGCAACAAATTGAAGTGAGAAACTATCTCGCAATGTCTTTGTTTGGCAACCAGCAGTCTCTTCAATTTTAGTGTATATTTAATATTTTATGCCCTAATTTTTATTTGCTCTCCCTTATTTCCCGTATTTGATTTCAACCATACCCATACAATTATTTTATTTACAATTATAATCAATCTTGACTATATTATCTTGCACTTGTAAACTTAGAATTACCTATTTAAATATGCAAATTCAAGATTCAATTATCTATGCATGAACAATTCCAATATAATCTTGCGTTGATATATTTTATAGTACTTATTTAAAAAAAAAATATTGGGCATTATCTCAATCGCGCAATGCGCGTAAAAAAACTAGTATATATATATATATATATACTAATAAGAGCCAAAAGAAGTTAGGCCTATATTTGGTAGAAAAAATGTCTGTCAAATTATTAAATCAAATGAATGGTTTAGGTTGTTCATATTTTAATTTTTCCATTAAATTTCCAAATTTATCCTTGATGATATGATTTCAATAAGAACGATCTTATGTTCGAACCCTATCACAATCAAAGTTCCTTTAAAATTATATTCTCCGTTAACTTACTCATTGATTTCAATAAGAAATGTTAGGTTCGAACCTCATCCCAATCAAAGTTGACATAATTAGTACTCTATTTTACTCTAATTAAATTAAAAATAATTTAGTAGCTACAACAATAAATAATGCATATGCATTTCTTTAATTTAGAATTATATGTCTACAATACCTTTATTCAAAAAAATTATTCATTATCAATAAATTAAATAAGATAAATAATTTCATTAGTTATATTGTCTTTATTTTTCTCCAATGTAAAAATTCTTTACATTCAAATTCATCAATTGATTATATTCACTACATTGTCCCTACAATGCCTTTATTCAAAAAAAAAATATTCATTATCAATACAATAATTAATTAATGAAGAGAAATAATTTCATTAGTTATATTGTCTTTATTTTTCTATAATGTAAAAATTCTTTACATTCGAATTCACCAATTGATTATATTCACTATTGATGTGAGTCAAATTGTGCATATTTCTTGTATTAGTTTGTTAATATTTGTTTGTATTAAGTTCATGAAAATGTCACTTTAAATACATATTCCATTGTTTTCTCATTAAGATATGGTTTACACTTGTTTTGAATGTTTTACGGTGTTTGTTAGTGTTTTGGAACCATTTTATGTCAAGTGCAAGAGCAGTGGATGTTCTAGGACGAGTTTGGAGCCGAAATGGACCAAAAGTGCACGACTTAGAGGATTCGACGCTTCGAGCCATTCCAAATATTCCAGTAGGGTGGCCGTTCGAAGCTTAGCAGACTCGACGCGTCGAGAAATTCCAGTAGCGGTCCGGAGCGAGGAGTTGAAGACTCGACGCGTTGAGTCATGTCTCGAAGTGTCGAAACGTCCCATCCCAGTACCGAGAAAAGCCGACGCCTCATTCTCGATGCGTCGAGCGGGCTGTTAGGCCGATTTTCAGCAGCTTCCAAAAATTGGTGGAAATTTCCTATTTTGTCCCGATTTGACTCCCGCTATAAATGGGTGCCTTCCTCAACCCTATGTCAGATTCATGCTCAATTTTGGAGACAAGAAAGAAAGAATTGAGAGCCACAAGTTGTCTTGGGAAACAATGAGAAAGCTAAGGAGATTTGGGAGAATCGCTTGGTTTAATCCTTGTACTCTTTTGATTACTTGTAAACTCTTAATATTTGCTATGTATTGCATGTTAGCCATGTGTGGCTAATTTACTTTAGAGATTCATGGGTGAAAGTATTTATGAACCTTTGTGCCTAGTTCTTTAATGCTTTAATATATTATAATTTGGGTTTTAACTTGTGTTGCAATTGCGTTTTATATTGTTGTTGCTAGTAATTAACGACCGTAATTACTTGTTTCATAGCTTTCTTTTGTGTCACAACGGGAGTTGGACATAATTTAGGGCACACACGATTGCACTTAACTGTTGCACCTTGGGAGAGGGCAAATATGTTACGTAGTTTAATTATTGATATGATTGTTGCACATCGGGAGATGGTAGTAATTAGAGATTTATTATGAATGCTTGTTCTTTTTATTTTTGGGTGTTTATATCAAGGGAGTGAATATTCACTATGGTTAGAGATTACGGGAGTAACTCTATACCACCTTTGCATTCTCACACTTGTTGAACCCAGATGTTAATATTGTTCTTGAGTTTGGCACTAGGTGATTAATCAACCATCATGTCTTTCGTTAGGATTAGTTTCTCGTGAATAAATTAGTAGCTAGTGCTTAATACCCCGCTTCCCTGTGGATTGGTAACCCGATACTCCAGGTATTATTTGTTTGAGAAATATACTACATTCAACAATATTGTCCATTATCTTTTTTTTTACACTATTTTTTAATTAAAATATCAAAGTTATAATACAAAATAATGTTTTGTATTTATTTACCAAGTATTTATTACTACTGTAATACCATAAAAAAAATAGTTAAGCCAATCATATTAACTATTTGGGGGATTTGTTGACATAGAGAGTACTCAAATAACACAACAAATTGAAGCGGGAAACTAACTCGCAATGTCCTAGTTTGGCAATCAGTGGTTAGCGGTTAGCGTTAGCGGATTATGTAAGAAGTTAGCAAATAGCATATTATATTATCAGGTTTGACCAGTGAATTATATCAGCGATTGGTAAAAAAATATTTTAAAAAATTAGCTGTTTAGATTAACATGTAAAATGACCTAAATGGTATATATATATTTCATAATAATAACAATTATTTAATAAAAGAAATTAAAAAATTAAAAAAAAAACATAAGGGTTAGTTTTGCCACTTTTCCCACATCGGTGGTAAAAGTGGCATAGGAGCCTTGAGGCTCCTATAAAAGGAATCTCAAGGCTCCAATTTAAACATTGAGCTTGCCCATCCGTTGATGGGCAAGCAGTGAGCCAACCAAATTGGCTCGTCGCGTTCAAGGAGACGAAACGGCTCTTCCATAGTAAACATTTTTTTTAAAATACATGTATGTTTTAGGGAAATCTTTCTCTAAAACGCTAAGTGAAAATATTGCGAATTGCAGTGTTTATATTTTCAACGGTTTGGAGCAAATTGTTGGTTAGAAAAAATGAGTTAGGCCTATAATGGTTAGAAAATATGACAGGTCAAATTTTTTAATCAAATGAATGGCTTAGATTGATCAGATTTTAAATTTCCCTTGAGATTTCCTAATTTATCCTTAATTAAATGATTATCTGTGAACTTTTCTATTAAATATTATCTTCTCCATTAATTTCTGTTAGTTCACCGTTAACTTAATTATTGATTTCAATAAGAAAGGTCTTAGGTTCGAATCCCATCCCAATAAAAGTTGGCCTAATTAGTACTCTATTTTACTCTTATTAAATTAAATAATAAGGATTAATTTAGTAGCTACAACAAAAAATAATAAATATGCATTTCTTTAATTTAGAATTATGTGTCTACAATGCCTTTATTCAAAAAAATTATTCATTATCAATAAATTAAATGAAATTATTTCATTAGTTATATTGTCTTTATTTTTCTCCAATATAAAAATTCTTTACATTCAAATTCAATTATATTCGCTACAATGTCTTTATTAAAAAAAAAATATTCATTATCAATAAATTAATTAAGAGAAATAATTTCATTAGTTATATTGTCTTTATTTTTCTCCAATGTAAAAATTCTTTACATTCAAATTCATCAATTGATTATATTCACTACGTTGTCTATTATCTTTTTTTTGTGCACTATTTTTTAATTAAATATCAAAGTTATAATACAAAATAATGCTATATATTTATTTACCAAGTATTTTATTAATACCATGAAAAAATTATAAAAATATAATTAAGTCAATCATATCAACTACTTGATGGATTTGTTGACAAAGAGAGTATTCAAATCACACAACAAATTGAAGTTGGAAACTATCTTGCAATGTCCTTGTTTGGCAATTAGTAGCTAGCGGTTAGCGTTAGCGGATTTAACCAGTGAATTATATCAACGGTTGGTAAAAAGATATTTGAAAAAAATAGCTGTTTAGATTAATTAACATGTAAAATTATCTAAGGGTATACATATATTTAATAATAATAATTGTTTTTTTTTAAATAATAATAATAATAATAATAATAATAGTAATTTAATAAAAATAAATAAAATTTTAAAAAAATAAAAATAATAAAACATACGGAGAGCCGAACGTTCTGCTCCCCTTAGTTTTGCCACTTTTCCCACATCGGTGGGAAAAGTGGCATGGGAGCCTTGAGGTTCCTATAAAGGAGCCTTAAGGCTCCAATTTAAAAATTATCCTGCGGGCAAGCAATGATCCAGCGAAGCTGGCTCTTGTTATTCAAGGAGTAGAAATGGTTCTACAATTTTAACTTTTTTTTTTTTTTTTTAATATAGAGGTGTTTTGGGGAAATCATTCTAAAAAATGCTAAGTGAAAATGTTGTAAATTGCAGTATTTGTATTTTTAGTGGTTTGGAACAAATTGTTGCCCCAACCAAACACTTTCTTTAGCATTTTGATCTTTGGGTTACATCATATTTACTAACCGTCCAATATCTTTGGGTTACATTATATTTAAAAATTTTAAATTTTTACTACTTCATCTAAATTCCTTAAATTAGGACACCGAGCAAAGCACCTAAAGGACTGGTACCGTTGATTCATTTATTGATCTCTATTTAAAAAAAGTTTAACGACAATTATAATGAATCTTAGATCCTATATTATCTAGTATTCATATATTATGAGTTACATATTTAAATACACAAACTTGACATTAAATTACTTATGTATGAACTTCTCATATATAATCTTGCATTGATATACTTTTAAATATTTATTTAATTATAAACATTGGGTATTAACTCATTCACACAATGTGCGTATAAAATTAGTATATATATATATATATATATATATATATATATATATATATATACTAATAAGAGCCAATAAAATTAAGCCTATAATGGGTAGAAAAAAATGTCCATCAAATTATTAAATGAAATGAAATGGTCCAGATTATTCAGATTTTAATTTTTCTTGAGATTTCCAAATTTATCCTTAATTATTAACTTACTCATTAATTTCAAGGCCTATAATTGGTAGAAGAAAATATCTCTCAAATTATTAAATGGAATGAATTGTTCAGATTATTTAGATTTTAATTTTTCATTGAGATTTCCAAATTTATCCTTAATTATTAACTTACTAATTGATTTCAATAAGAAAGGTCTTAGGTTCGAACCTCATTCTAATCAAATTTGGTATAATTAAGTTCCTCACTCTATTTTACTCTTGTTAAATTAAATAAATTAGTAGTTAAAACAAAAAATGATGCATATGGATTTCTTTAATTTAAAATTATGTGTCTACAAAGCCTTTATTTTAAAAAAAAAAATTATTCATTATCAATAATTAAATAGGAGAAATAATTTCATTAGTTATATTGTCTTTTATTTTATCCAATGCAAAGATTCTTTATATACGAATTCATTAACTGATATTCATTACATTGTCCATTATCTTCTTTTTACACTATCTTGTAATCATGTAATTAAATATCAAAGTTATAATATAAAATAATGTTATATATTTATTTACCAAGTATTTATTAATACCATGAAAAAAAAATAGTTTGAAGTCAATCATATTAACTACTTGAGGGATTTGTTGACAAAGAGAGTATTCAAATTACCCAACAAATTGAATCATGAAATTACCACGTAATATCTTTGAACTACATCATATTTAAAATGAGTTAATACCCAAAATTGTCCTCGACTATAGTGGTTTTTCTCAATTTCGTCCTAAACGACTTTGGTAACCTAATATAGTCCCAGACTTTTGTGTTTCGCTCAATTTAGTCCTCCTTTTGTTATTCCGTCAAATTGGTGTTAAATTGGTGTCAAATTGGTCTTACACGAATTACACCTAGAGTTACTCTCAGACCTACGAATCAAATTTTATATTCGCAGCTTTAGAAGTGATTCTGGGAGTAATTCGTAAAAAAAGAGGGATTTCGCACTTCGCATGTCTATGAATAACGAGATGCCAATATTAAAATTACTGAATTGTCTATTTATCTAACAACAAATGGACAGAATAACAAATAGGGGACTAAATTGAGCAAAAACACAAAAGTCTGGGACGAAATTGAGTAAAAACACAAAACTCTGGGACTACATTAAGTCACCAAAGTCGTTTAGGACAAAATTGAGAAAAATCACTATAGTCGAAGACGATTTTGGGTATTAACTCTATTTAAAATATTCAAAATTTTACTACTTTATCTAATCTTATTACTTAAACTATGGATTTCTTTATCTACGATAACTCATTCACACAATAATGGTTGAACCAAATGAACCCTAAGCAGAACACCTAAAGGATTGGTATGCTTTTATGTTGATAATAATATGTAAATGTTAATTATATCATTATCTTACGTAGCTACATTTAAAACTCATTATTAAAACTGTCAATGTAGGCAATAGAACATCGTAACACACTTGATGCACTGAAAAGATGCTGAGACTACAACAATGCTACAATCAATTTGGCAAACCTAAAAAAAGAAGAACTAATAGAAATTTACTATTCATTTCATCTTCTAGACTCAACCTGCTTAGATTACAAGCAAAATCAACATTAACCTTTACAACAAAAATACTTGGTATTGTAGACACGGAAAATTTGAACCCGACAAATGGGCCGATTAAAGTGTTATTGGGCCAATATTGAGATTAATGATTGGGCCAATTTAATTAATTGGATCATAGAAATTAATTTAATTTGATGAGTCCAATTAAATTTGATTTGGGCCATTGAATTAATTAATTAATTGGTCCAAGCCCATCTCATATTTGAATTATAAATTATAATTATAATTTAAATATAATACAATTTTATTATATTTGAATTAGATAATTATAATTTAATTTGAATTTGAATTTGATTATACAATAATGAACCTAGACTTGATTTTGGGTAAGGTTCATTTTCCTAAATAAATAAATAAATAAATAATTAATTAAAAAGGGGGAGTTTGTTGAGGAATGTTGGTTAGGCTTCTACTATAAATAGAGCCTTCATTTTCATTCCAAAACACAACTTGAAGGCTTAGAGCTTGAAGGAATTGAACAACTTGAAGGCTTGAGGAATTGAGAGCATTTGAAGAGCTTGAAGGCACCGAAGAACGCTTGAAGATTTGAAGGCATTTTTGTTGATTTTGCAGGCAATTTGAATCCATTGCAGGGTTGATTACTTCTAAATTCTTGACGCTCGTTGTTGGAAGTCACGCCAATTGAATCCCGGAAGCCACGCCACTTAGATCCCGAAGGCACGCGCCACTTAAATTCCGAAGGCTACGCTATTTGAATCCCGGAGGCACTTCCATAGATAACGTCAGTGAAGAATCAGAGGACTAGACAGAGATTTTGTACCTGCATATTGAATTATACATACACTGTACAAGGAATTTTGTGAATATATACAAAATTTACTTTTTTGTGTTTACAGATTTTGGCACGCCCAGTGAGACTACTCTGCCTCTCATCTTTTCACTGTTGATTTGCGAGCTCTACAAGGAAGGAATCCAAATGGCATCAAGAAATCCCTCCTCTAAGATGACCTACGCTCAAGCTACCCGCTCCAAAGCATCATCCGTGGCCGGTTCTGGTGATAGTCGCGAAATGGAAAGACCCAATGACTCGAAGCCGAGTGAGGAGCTTAGGGGTGGAACTGAACGAGACCCAGAACATGGTTCGCATCATCGTCCGAAGGATTGAAAGCAACTCCACCAAGTCATGGAAAGCTGCATATGACAAGGGTTCATCTTCAACGAGGGAAACTGTTGGCGACAAGAGTCATATGGGCCCTACTGCCACAAAAGGAATTCCTAGCAGCAAGAGTATGACTCCCCCAAAAGGAACCCTTGGCAGCGGTAGCTCGTCTCCTACATCTCAGTCATCACCTCTGCGAAAAACATCGTCAGAATTAACTCACACCTACACAATCATGCCCGCTATGACAACAAACGCAGCTTTGGTGGAGGAACAACTAGCAAACATCACCAAAGCTCTTGAGGGGATAACTACGTTCATGCATAACCAAGAAAGGAGAATCAATGAGTGAAGCGAAAAAGTTGAAAGCGGAAGAAACGACGAAACAAGTCAAGCTTCCAGGAAGCAGCCTCAAACCCTAGAAGATGAGATTGATGTCGAGTCACCGCGTCATCAAAGTAGGCCAATAATGGAAGAGACAATCTCTCGTCCACCACCCGCTGAGAAAAGCATTCCAATTTCTGAGGGCATGATACCTGTCGAGCATTTGAACGACTACATCATGGGAGCAATTAAAGGGAAGCTCGAGGGAGGACAATCTTCGTACACTTACACTAAGCCATATACTCAGAGAATTGAAGAAATGAAGATGCCGTTGAGCTACCAACCTCCCAAGTTCCAACAGTTTGATGGAAAAGGCAACCCAAGGCAACACATCGCCCACTTTGTTAAAACCTGCAATGATGCTGGAACATACGGAGATCTCCTCGTCAAGCAATTCGTCCGCTCTCTGAAGGGCACAGCCTTTGATTGGTACACCGACTTGGAGCATGGTTGCATTGATAGCTGGAATTATATGGAGCGCGAGTTCTTGACCCGTTCCAATGGAAGGGTGAACGTGCAGGTGTTTTCATCGAGAGATGGAGGGAGTTGCGCCTCAACTGTAAAGAGAGGATATCTCAAAGCTCCGCAATTGAAATGTGTATCCAAGGCATGCACTTTGAGCTCTCTTACATCTTGCAGGGAATCAAGCCTAGAACATTTGAAGAACTATCCAGTCGTGCTCATGACATGGAATTGAGTATTGAAGCCAATGGGGGACTAAACATGTCAAGTATGCCCAGCTCATCAAAGGCACCTACAAACCAAGATGTCAACAAATGGAGTAAGTTCTTTCCAAAGCAAGAGAAGAAAGAGACGATGAACGTGATGACAGGACCAATGCGGGTTTTCACCAAAGTGGTTGAGAAGCCCAAGCAAATATCATTCCCTGGCCCATCAAGGGGGTCTAGAAAAACAATTGTTGAAGAGTGGCAGGAAAAACAATATCCATTCTTGGATTCTGACGTTTCTCCTATGTTTGACGAGTTGCTGAAACTCAAATTAATTGAGTTGCCTGAGATGAAGCGCCCCGAAGAAGCTTCTAGGGTGGACGACTTTAACTATTGCAAGTATCATCGTCTCCTCGGACACCCGATTGAAAAATTCTTCGTCTTTAAGGATAGAGTG